AAAAAAAAGAAGATCGCTTACATCCAGTTCTAGCGAACACTGGACCACTGTGCTAACACGTTATCAATGCCGACGCCAGCTTCTAGCGGTGAAATCCTAAAAGATAGGAGAATTGGAAAAAAACACCAAGAGAATGAAGGCAGTCACGAGTGCTTGCAAGAAATACCGGATACATGGAAAAAAGAAGCGCGAACTCCTCAGAAACGCGATTACTCACAAAATGATTTTAAGAAAAATTTTGGTGCAAAATTGCGTGCATTGCGGCTTTTTTTGAAATTGACATTTTTATTTTCATCAGAATTTGTATATGTTTCACGGCTGTGTTGCTGAAAAATAGTACTGATTTATTACATTTTGACAAAATCGATAGCCTATTGTAATTCTCGCATTCTCAGAAAATGATTGTATTCACACAGTGCAAAGTAATGTATTTTCGTAAAAATCCTCTCTTTCCCGAAAAATGAGTATTTCAGCTACTAATTATAGAGATTTGCTTCAATGATTTTATTATTCGTTCAAAAAATCAAAAAGAACAATAACTTTTGCTGAAAGATCAGTAGTAGCACTCATTAACCTGACGCATTTGTTGAAAACAGTATTACTTTTGTTCCAAACCTTATCTCAAGACTATAATTATACCAATCGTTAGCTGATGACCAGAACTTGAATTTGAAAGGCACGGCACTTCCTACAACCTGCAGAAATGCGCAAAATCTTTTCTGTACAGGTTGCAAGAAGATACTTTCTCCTTAAACTAATTGTTAAGATCACACATCAAATGACTTTGCAGTGGTCGTGTGGCGCGATTTTTCCGGCTGTTATTATACATGCTAATAACACAATAAAAATCTATTTTCATGAGCTATTGAGCTTTTGAAGAAAACAAGAAAGGAGTTACAATATACCAGTTAGAGGTATATGGGCAGAAAGAGTGCTAGTGACTGAATGTTGGAAACTACAGACAAAGATTTACCCAACGAATTTCCTCGAAATTTCCTGACTTATCTTCATATCTTTAAATGGCTCTATCTAGATTCTGGAATAGACACCTTGTACTTTCCTTTGGAAGTAGTACACAATTACAGTATAAAAACTACGTAACGCAGATATCAATGCAGATGTGCCCTCATTGGCACAAAAATTGTGCCACTCGACACACACCCAACGAGCTTCGCTATTTACTACAGCTAACTATGCTGTTGTATCAGCTGTCACTCACAAAGTATGGATATCGTACACATTCTTTGTCCATCTAAAAAATAATAATGTATGAGAATGAGAAGTGAGATTGTGATCAAAATAACCCAGATTTGCAATTTCCTCTGCGCGACCTACATCAAAACAATCTGCTAACCTTCTGAATGGTATACTTCGATTTTGATGGGTGCTATAATACAAAAATGTACGAAGTGATTTAATTCGTGGCCACTTTTGCGCCTAAGTTTTTCGACTTTGCAGTACGCCGTTATACCATATGGATACCTTGTACAATAACACAAGACAATTGAATTTTACAGGATGGACGATCCTAGTTCTTCCATTGCCCAGTCACTAAATAGGACGTTGGATGGGACAGTAACGAGTGCTCCAAAAGGAAAAGCAGTTTATTTGCTTCATTCAAATGTGAGA